ACCAACAGACCTCAAGACACTCATGAGCTAGAAGTAGCGGTGGCCTCACACACGTATGTGGAAACGAGAGTAGACGTGATCGCATAAGTGGTAGTCGCCGGGGTAGGGTTCACGACCTGAAACCAATTCGCCGCCACGGGAGTACCCAAGCCCGTTACTTCCTCGAACTCATCAAGATTGAATCCAAGACGGGCCGCGTCTGTTGCAGGCAGCAAGCTCTCAAGACAGACAGGCAGGGAGTAGTCCTCTGGCTGGCTGTACAGCAGCAGGATGTAATCGTGGGCAGGCCCTTCCAGCGGTGTCGGGTAGACATACTCCGCGGTTGGGGCGCTGGTGTTGCTAATCTCTAAGACACCAGACGAATAGGCTAGGTATGGCTGGTACCAGTGTAAGGCGGCCGTTGAGATACCATCCTCATTGATGGTTGGGTCGATCATGATGATGACGTACTCGTCCTTGGTGGAGGTGGTGTCCTCCAAGTACAAGGTAGGGGTATTGATGGTCCCTGTGGAAGCGTTGTGAGTATGTAATCCGCGTCAAAGAAAAATTTCGCTTACAGTTTTGGTTGACCAAGGCTCCAGATTTGAGAGTTAGGTGGCCCCCATCTTCGGTGAAGACCACGCCAACGTCCGCGTCGACAGACGGAGTAAAGCTGGAGGGAGTCGCCGCTGCCGCGAGGCCGACAGCAAGAAAAGAAGTGAAGAATTGGAGAGAACGCATCTTGATAGTGCTAGTTTCTTTCTGTGGAGAAGTATGGTTATGATTGTGCTGCCAAAGTCCCATCCCTTGGCTCCATTTCGATTGTTCTTATAGTCCCTTGCTGGATGCTTGTTTCACTGCCTCAAACTGAACGGGCCGAGTAAACTGAGTTGACACCAAGGTGCATCCGAGATTCAAGTTAGTACTCACGGAGAAGCATGGCTAATACATCTCGAAATGGTAGAGGACAAGACAGTGATCATAAGCTTGTATAGACGCAGGAGGACCAGGATCTCGTATTCGGCTGCACCGCCTCAAGTCTTCTTCCAAGGAGGAACGGGCGTGATAATGCTAGAAAGAGCATGCTTTTCGTGGACTAGTAGCAAAATCATCAGCCTATAGTATGTAAGTAGCAAATCTGAGGTAATCTGAGTCTTAGAGGCATTGTAAGTCGAATGGTGATGTTTGTGTTGGGTGTTGTCGGTGCTGCATATCTGCCATGCGTACCACGTGGACGCATTCCTTCCGAGCTCCAGTGGGCCTTGATCGTTTGGAACGCAATGCGTAATTCGATATTGATCCTGCAAGATCCTTTTGGGAGCGATGACGCTAGCGCTTACTCTATAATGATTATGGCTCCTTTAATGAACTCGGATCCCCTTCCCTCCGGAGCAGAGCACTCAATAGTCTCCATTTGTCAGAACAGGTATGTACGCCCTTCGAAAATTAGGGGATAACTTCACCAAGCTACATCATTGCTATCCCTGGAGAGGGTAGTTGTCACAAAAGCAGTGCGAGTACGTGACTTTGATATTCTTACAATAGGGCAATCCCTGCTTCATTTCCACAAGCACAAGGACAAGGGTAATGCATCCACACAACGACCAGAGATACTACACAAAGCAAGATGCCTCAAGCAGATGTCTATCCTGTGCAAATTACCAAGTGATGTCCCAGTCAGCATATAGCGCAAACTTTCGTAAGCTAGACTCGGGGAAATCGGGATGAGAAGCTGTGCAACTATCATGCTCCGAACCCTTTCTTTCGTTCATATTCGCTGTCGCGTAGAGGTCAAAGCCTCCATTGTAGTGTGAGCTGACTCTCTAAGAATCCTGGAGGATGAGTGAGTCAAGGTCAAAAGCCTGGGCAAGGGAGGATAGTTTCTCACCAACCCGGATGATTACTCTCAAAGTGTGAGACAAAACAGGTTATTTTCAAACAATTGAGCCCGGATAGCACCTCTGTGCCACCGCTCTGCACTCGAGGTCCTTGGGTACTCGCCTTGTATAACGTTGATTGGTAATGATGGCGACGGTTTTTGTGTTACGTAGTACTTCTATAGTGGGGCTTCTTTGTGGCATCCGTAGGCATACAATCTATAGCATAGATGGAACACCAATCATAGTTTGCAATATTGGCAACATGTTGGCAAATTGTGGTATGACGAAAGCTATCCGGTTCTGGGGCTCGGGAAAGGCAACTGTCTCATTGTTCCGGGATAGATTGTTAGCTATAGTTTCACAGCGCGTTCATGTCTAAAGCAGGCCATGATCTAGATTGCCTATGAAAAGTCGAGGAATCATTCTGTGAAAGAAAGTATAACAAGAAAACCCTTGATTTGCTATAATATAGCTAGCTGGTGATACATACTGAAATAGCTCTAAACACCGCTAAGCAAATCCAATTAACGCCGAGCGCTCAGCGCATCAGCAGGGCGTAGCATGACCACTGATAGCGAAGGCAGCCTTCACAGTACCATGATGTAAGGGAGTATCAGAGCGCATCACGGCAGACGAGGCTGCCCCCTAGGATCCCCATCCTAGCGTATATCTTCCGTGCAGCGTTCTGCGAATGCCGTCCCATTTCTGTCACCACCAGAGGCGGGCGTTTGCCCAGCACAACGGCACCTATTATCGGTTTTATATAATTATTCCTTGTGCTCATCTTTCAGTTCTTTCCCACTGATGAGACAGCCCCTCACGCCTTTCCACCGGACTTCAAGATCTGCTCCAGGTTCTCCCGGCTGTTCTTATGTGTCATTTCCAGGTAGTGCAGCTTCTTTTCCAAGCCAGCAATATCCGTCTTCAGTTCTCCACTCTCGCTTGACAGGCGCTTGTCGATCGTGTTCATGGGGACAGCCACAAACCTATGAGAATTGTATCCGTTAGTATGGCTGCGAGATTCTTCCGTCTTCATGCCATCCTTGAAAGGGTGATATAGCAGCCCGCCAATAGACTCACATCTTACCAACGCCCTCATATACCCTTGTATCCTTAGGCAAAGAACCGATTTCCTTGGACGTTAGCTCCAGCATGCGGATGTCTCTCTGCTTAGTTGTGATCTGCGCCTTCGTGACGCCGATTTGTTGTTGGGAGGTGATAGCCTGGACCTCGATTTCTTGCAGAAGCTGTTTGTCCGGGACTAATTAGTTACTATGAGGAGAGAAAGTTGCTAGGACAAGGTACCTTCTGCAGAGCTTCGTTGGGAATGGACATGTTGGGTTAAGGAGGGGGGAGTCCCGCTTTGGTATTGAGGGGTAATCTGGGGTCAAGAGAAGTCGCGTCGTCGGGGTCAAGAAGGCGCGTATTTAAATTGTCTCAGTAATAGTTTTTCTGAGATTGATCAAAATGTTTCGTGGATCTGGTATGAGAGTAACAGGGAAGGCTGTTTGTTCGTTACCTATCGTCCTGATCAAGCTCGACGATGAACACATCGGCCGCCCGCTATTATTGGCTCCGAAGCCCGGGCGGTAGAGGATACCGGATTCGGACATCAGTATAGGGCTTAGGGCTTCAAGCAAAACAAACTATTGGTATACAATCCTCATGAGAGACGAAGCATATATGGATTTTTCGAAAATAATCGTATTCATATAGAGTTAATACATCATTGAGGCTCGCATCTTGTTGTACTCAGCTTGGGTGGTTGGCTTATACTTTGCCGGATATGCCTCACTCATGCATGACGGAATACACTCAATGGTCACGTCTGGATCAGGAGACATGAAATACGGAATTGAGTAGCGCTCCCGTGTCATCCGGTTGGGCCCCTCGAATCGGTCTGAGAGTTGCGGTAGTCTGACGCGGTGGTTGGTTGACCGAAGACGATCTATGTTATAGATCAGAAATATGACCGATTTCACACTACTACTAATGTTGCGGGAAATGGCGAAGACAAACCATTGCTCCACATTTGCAATAAGTCCCCAATGTTCATGATGATGGCATGTTTCAAAGGAGTAGCGGGGACGAATGTGCCGGGCCGAGAAATGTCCTCTACTTCCAGGCCACCACAGTCATCCTGGAAGAGCATGGTTATGGAACTCCAATCTGTATGTGCCGGGCATCGGGCGGTTCGCTCTTTCTCCAACTCTTCTGCCGGCACAGGCAGATAGTGCAGCAACCGGAGCTGGTTGTTGTGACCTGAATGCTTCTTCGTCAGGTAGCTTTCATCCTCCAAGTCAAGGCCGGTAGCCAAAGCACGTAGTATCTCGCTTCCAACCTTATTACACTCCCAGTAAAATTGGACCATGAAGTCTTGGTAACCAGGAAGTGTCTCTTTCGGTATCCACTGGTTGGGCTGAAAGGTATTCTCTTCGCTGCCAATATCGTAGATTTCCTGTGCTTAAACGTCATTCCGAATCTCAGTATAAGACTCGGTGGCAACAATCATGAAGAACATTTCTGTCTAATAGCTCACTGGGGCGACATAGAAACCTAACAAACCTTGACATCTGGCACCTCTCTCAGCTTCTTCCGCGCGTCCTCGTCATCTCCGGTGCTCATGACTTGAGAAACCTTTTCTAGACCGGGCCATGAGTAGCCTCGATGTACCGCCCAGCCCTCCGGGTGTGGGGCCCGCATCTTGTCTTCGCTCGAGAGCTCAAAAAAGCGTCTCATCCATTCAAAGGTTTCATCCAGAACCGATCCAGGAAGCGAGTGGTTCACGATGTATACGAACCCGACATCCTGGCAAGCCTTGACCAGTGCATGTGCGACCTGTTGACGAGAGGAGGCATCTTGGCTGTTGTACCACTGCGAAAAGTCCACGACGGGGATCTGCATCTGGGTAGAGTTCGCAGAACAAGACATATCGAATAACTCAGATTCTAATAGTATCTCAAAGCTCGTGGGATGATGTTTAGCCAGTTAGGCCGCCGAGAAGAAGACCTCACGATAACACTTCCAATGACCTGTTGTGAGAAGGACGGCTAGTGTACTATTAGCTGAACTGGCGCTTGGTTTCCAAATCGCCTGGCCGATCATATGCTTTGCGATCGTGGAAGGAAAAGAAATTACGCGAACGCCACTTTCAAGAGTAGAATGAATTGGCATAACCAGCAGAATATCGTACGCCTGAGTCTATAACGATGATCTAAAACGACTCCGAGGTAAGCTTACTATTCACGTGGTGTAGATTTGGTGTCCGAGATGTAAAGTGACATCATCTGGTGAGTAGCAGACCCTGAGATCGGAGCTGGAGCAGTATTTATCCACTCGGTGATAAGTACTATGGAGACCGGCGGAGTGCCGGGTGATTTCCTGGCTCCGGTGCAGATTTTCAATCAATGCGGGCCAAAAATAGGTGGACAAAGTCCCATCTTTGTACGGGTGGCTGGTTATGGAGGGGCCACAGGCGACGCTCCGTTGCTGTGGCAGGGGATCGCAGTGGACCCGGCGCGGCCTGAACAACCTAAAGATGCAGCATCCATCACCCACACTTTCCGGTGTTCAAACCGGCTTGCTCGAGTGAGGCGAACTCGGCAGAAATTACTACAGGAAGAAGAGTTTTTAGCAACACGTAAGTGTGCCTTTATCCGCCCTGGATCATGTCCGTTGAGCTACTGTGTACTTGCAAGCGCTACCCTGATCGACCACTACTGACATCTAACTTACTTCTACCGCTTCTAGTAATCTGTTGATCGCCGCTGCAAAACCGTCGCATAATACTGGCCCTCGACAGATCGTACGATTAAACAGGTCGCAGTCTCCAGCTGCGCCGGTGACGCATTCCGACGTATATTTTTCGATATCCTGTCCCATCATATCCGGAGGGCGCGCTGTAGCCCTAAGCCTCGACAATGAAGCTCTTCGGGTGGATCTCGGCCGCATTCCTCGCTTCGACTGTTCTTTCGTTAGAGACAACACCAGCTCCATCGATCGATACTATACCATTCGATTCACCTCGCAATGCAGACTCCGGACGAAGGGCCTTTGAAGTACTGCAATTATTAAGGAAGCGGAGCGATAACTGTCCTTCCGGATATGATTCTTGCACAAACCTAGGCTACTCGGATATATGCTGTGCCGATGGTAGCAGGTGCACTCGCGACGCCGCTGACAATGTCGCTTGCTGCCCGACGGGAGCGAGCTGTACCGGCACGCTCTCAGAAACTGGAAACTCTGGGGGAGGTGCAACTAGCAGCTTCCGATTTCCCCAGACAGCGACGGCTACACAGACTACAGATGGAACGAGTGTGACTCTCACGGGCTCTACGATTGCCGGAGCATATCCATTTGTCAATATCCCGACATCGTTCGCCAACGCGCGCGTTTGCACATCATACTACTCTCTCTGTCAGAGCGAATATACCGGCTGTCTTTCGCAACTCGGAGGAGGGTATGCTGTGACTGTGGCTGCTGAAGGAGGAGGTGTCACTCGCGCTGGAGGAGGCGCTTCTGCAGCTATATCGACATGCTCTAGTCTGAGTATGGAGGCATGCCACGGCCTCAGCATTGGTTACTGCGGCAGTTACAGCACTGATGTCTACGAGAACCGGGGAACGATGCCCCGACGGAGTTCCAGTCTTGAGGACCTTTTCTTTGGCATGTTCATTGGACTTGCCGGGATGTTTCTATGAAGTTACGACTACGCTTGATTTTCATGTGGATATGTATGTACGAGATATGGACATACGCTCGCTCAAGTGACGTAAAAAATTATTTTTTTCATCTCGAAGTTAACGATGACAACTGCGACACTCGAGCGACGACTACTTCGGTCGAGAACGCCCATTCTTTGGGTAGCTGAAAGAAACGACTGGATGCATCTATGAAGTGACTGATGAAGGGCGATAGTTGGGCAGCTATCGGTATAATGAGTTTCATGATTCTGTGGCGTTTTGTATATAACAAGAGCATCTAGGATAGCAATGATATCTAAAACAAATGAATGATCAGATTATGATTTCTTTAGTATTATGGGAACTTGTACTGGGAGCTTGTTGCTCCCACAATAGACAAGGGAGATCCAGCTGCATCCATGGCGCCTCACTACCACATCATTATTAGGGCTCAGCAGATAGCAAAGAATCTAGTATGTGATTGTCGGGTCACGGACAATGCACACTTCTAGAGCAACTAAGTACTTACGGATATTGAGTCACCCACGCCAAATCACTGCCTAAGCATGGGGCACCTTCGTTGGGTGACACGTAGGAGTAGTCACTAGTCACTACACGGTCTTCGCCTGATTTGTGCCGACGGATGGAGGCCCATGCATTCAGTACCTGACGGACGTACCTCATCGAATCAGAAACAGCGTTTGGCTAGACCGACTCACCGTGGAAGACGAAACGATAATCTAGCGGTGGAGCCGACAACGCAGTAGGCCGGGTCTGTCCAAGTTCCGGACTTTTCACCCACGGACACGATTGGGTGCTGACAATGACGCTGTCAGGAACTGAGGGGAGAGAAAGTTGATGATGAGAGGGGCAGCAACGGCATCATCGGCCACTTCTCTGCCATTGGATCACAGCGGGGCAACAACATGCAGAGTTGAGAAAAGTGGACATCCCAGCCTCCGAAATTTCCTTTTTTAAATTATGAGCTAAGTTTATCTTCATCGCTGATTCACTCGGCCTGGCAGTGATTGGTGGTGGTCGTCACAGGAAATGCGGTGGTTGGGAAGTCGACCGGACGGAGGCTGGGATCAAAGAAGGACGGACGGGCTGCTCGTGGGATGGCACCCTGCTCCGACTTCTCTTCTCCAACCCTCCATACATTTTCTACTCAACTGATATGCATTCTTTCGATCTCTGCTCTGCAAGCTACCTGTGACGGTCTCTCGCATTCCATCTATTTGCTTGGCTTCCTTTCGTTCGCTGTCTCTCGTTCTATACCTCCCTTGTCATACCAAGACCTACATCGAGCCATACGTCGGAACCCCCCCCCCCCCCAAATTCGTCTCTGGCAGCGATCGCAATCCAAAGCTGCTTTTGGTCGCATCGTGGGCTGGCCTCGTGGTTGTGGAAATTCCTACATTCTCCCCTCGCCATGCATGCGTCTCGCATAATCCCGTCGACCTTATCTATACTGGCCCTACTAAGTCAGTTTCAACTCTCGATAGCTTCACCATTGGAACCCGAGGTGAGTCTCGAGGAGGCCACCTTGGAGAAGCGCTGTTCGAATCCTTGCGGTTATTATAGCCAGCTTTGCTGCAGCTCAAGCGAAACATGCAGCACCAACAGTGATGGCGAAGCTGAGTGCGTCAGTTCCGGAAGCTGGGAGTATTACACCACCACGTATGTCGTGACCGAAACAGAGCGTGCGACTTTTACTTCAACATGGAGCTCCTACATTTCGGCAACAACGAGCACTGGCAGTTGCAATGCCGAGTATGGTGAAACGGTCTGCGGCAGCGACTGTTGCGGCCCTGCATATGTCTGCTCCAACAATCAATGTATCCTGGGAAGCACGTCAATTTGGGCAACTGCGACTGCCACACCCCCCGTACGCGGAACAACGCTATCGACGGTAACTCAAACGGCCACCACTACTGAGCCTTTCACTGCCCCTGTGAGCACAAGCGGCACGCCATTGGTTGTGAAGGGCTCCGGCGGAGGACTCAGCGGCGGAGCCATCGCGGGCATTGTTATCGGAACAATTGCCGGCGTGTTCCTTCTGTTACTCCTTTGCGCCTGTATGTGCTGCCGTGGAGCACTTGATTCTGTGCTTGCTTGCCTTGGTCTCGGTGGCGGTAGGAAGCGGAGAGAAACCACGTACGTTGAAGAACGTCGTCGTCGTCACCATTCTTCTTCCGGGGCTAGACCTGAACAACGCACCTGGTTCGGCAGTCGACCGGCACCATCAACAGCAGGTGGCGGTAAGAAGAAAGAGTCTGGCATGGGTGCTTTGGCGACCATTGGAATCGTCCTGGGTGCGATCGCGCTGTGCCTTGGGTTGAAGAGGCGCAGAGACCGTGACGTGGATGAGAAGAGCGATTACACGTATCCGAGCACCTACTACAGTTACTACTCCTCTGACTACTATACCAACGATGGTAAGTAACGTCTTGTTCTCATTCAATGATAGCATGATGCTAATAACATTTGCAGGAAGCGTTGTGACAGATGATCGGCGGACGAGAGACACCAGAAGAACTAGACGATCTCGCACGCGTTCACGAAGATGATGATTTTATGATTCCAACCAACGAAAAAGAATGACTTACCGAGATACAACGATTTATTAGCTATGATTTGAGTCTTCGGACTTTATTTGATCGATTTTGCATGGACAGGCGTTACCCAGGGTTTATGATTGATGTGTGATGGTTTCTTCTTTCGTGTCCGAAAGATCTGCAATGTACGATGATGAGACATGTATTCATGTTCTAATGCCCTTGAATGTTTATGCTTTATCCCTTTTTTTCGTCACTTTGTCTTTGTCCTCCGTCCCTGCTTCCGTTTTCTCGAACTTATTGAAAGACGCGGAAGGAAACTGTGTTGTAAATAAGATGCTCAAATAGATTGACAAGGAACAGCATTGTACATATGAAAAACATCAGTTGCCTGTACCGACATCGTACATAATCTATCAGGAAGTTAGTAGTAGAGCGCATCCCTGACCAGCAACAGTGAGAGCTCACACAGCCAGAGTTGCGAGTCACCCTCCGACACGCTCCTTTTAAAGCGGCGCAGGGATAGTTACAGGTATATGGAGGATCTGAGCAAAGATCGCAGCTCTCAGAGATCCAGTGTCAGTGCACCCCTAGATACGTACAAAGCTGATTCTTGATAATCATGCGCCTGCCGGAGCAACTCGTGCGTTTATCCAATAACTGCAGCTGCAAGGCGGTCATCAACGGTCAGCATGCCAACCCAAGACAGAGACGGAGGGAATTGTCATCATAGAACAATTAGACCCCACCGGTCTGTTAATAAGGGCGAATTGAAGGGATAAGAAATTTGAATAGATTCGTGTTACCGATCTACGCGATCAAGTTGTTCCGATCAAAGCGGTTCGAGTCCGACAGGGTCCAGAGAGTGAATGAAGCTCGGCACCTCGTCGACGGCACAAACTGCCCGGGCGGAACCTGCGACTCCCCGCCTCCCGTAGTCCCAAGCCATTCCATCCATCATTTCACGCTCGCCTGTCCTTCAATCCCGCTGTCATTCCCACGCCATCTTCACAACACCCCCCTCCCCTCTTCCACAACTCTCAACTCTTGTATTCGAAAACCCTTATCCATGAGGCTACTCTCGAGTATACGGTCCTGACAATACCTACTCAGCATCTTAGTTCATTTTGCCCTCGTCCGGCTTTTCCCCGATCATCCAGGGCTGTCAAGTCTTCCCTCCTGAGGATTACGAGTCCCGTTGAGCTCCGATTCTTCGCTGGCCCGCCATGCTTCAAACGCAGACTCAGCACGTCTTCTCTCATCAGCACCAGTATCCGCAGGCTGATCCGACCTGGTTGCAGCAACAGCAGCATCACCAAACCCACCCGCACCAGGCTCAGCAACCGCATTCTTCGTTGGTCGCCCAACAGCATGCCCAAGTCCAGGCGGCCGCAGCCGCAGCCGCAGCCGCTCAACAACAACACTATACTCGTATAGCCATGGCTGGAAACGCCGGTGCCGGTAATTCCGCTCAAGGGGCTGGTGCAGGAGGCATTGGTGGGGACGGTGCGTTGCCCGGTGCGGTGTCCGTGATGGATGGTGGCATCAGTGATGAGAATCGGAAAGTTTTCATCTGGGTCGCAGAGCTTCTCGATCCGAGTCGCAGAGAAGCCGCCCTCATGGAACTTAGCAAGAAGAGAGAGCAAGTGCCGGAACTCGCGCTGGTTATTTGGCACTCTTTCGGTACGGAATCACCCCCTTTGATCAGCTTTGTTGGTGGCGACTAACGGGCAGTTATCCAGGTGTCATGACCGCTCTACTTCAGGAAATCATCTCCGTATACCCTTTGTTGAACCCTTCGCAATTAACTGCGGCTGCATCAAACCGGGTCTGCAATGCGCTGGCTCTCTTGCAGTGTGTGGCTTCCCACAACGAGACTCGCACCTTGTTTCTTAATGGTACGCAGCCGTCACCCAGGACCATCCACCCCACCCTTCGGTTCTACGTCGTATGTAACTTGACTAACAAATTCTCGTTTGGAACAGCTCACATTCCTCTGTTCCTCTATCCTTTCCTCAACACAACGTCAAAGTCGCGGCCCTTTGAGTATCTCCGCCTCACCTCGCTCGGCGTGATCGGAGCGTTGGTTAAGAATGACTCATCCGATGTCATCAATTTCCTCCTCACGACAGAGATCATTCCCCTTTGCTTGCGGATTATGGAGACCGGCTCAGAACTGAGCAAAACTGTGGCAATCTTCATTGTGCAGAAGATTCTCCTCGACGACATCGGTCTGGCGTACATCTGCGCAACCTATGAGAGGTTTTATGCGGTTGGAACTGTTTTGAGTAATATGGTCACTCAACTTGTCGAGCAACAGACAGTACGACTACTCAAGCATGTAGTGCGCTGCTTCCTTCGGTGAGTCTATCGCAAATTTCTTTACATTGTGTTGGTTGATTCGTTCCCACTTCAAATGCTGACTTTTGTAGCCTGAGTGACAACAGCAGGGCGCGAGAGGCGCTGCGTCAATGCCTTCCGGAACCCTTGCGCGATGCGACGTTCTCCTCCGTACTCCGCGACGACGCCGCCACTAAGCGCTGCCTGGCTCAGCTTCTCATCAACCTCTCGGATAATGTCTCCGATGGCGCACCTGGTGTTGCGATGTAAAAAGTTCAAAAGCATTTGTTTTCCTTCTGGTTTACTTGATATATTTGACAACCTTACGATATGCATGGGGCGGGCTTAGGCGAAACACGGAATACAAGGCGCAAACTGTGTGGTATGGCAATGCAATGACGCGATCTCAGGAAAGTTGCACAAAATCAACAGAGAGAAAAGAGAAGACATGGCGGGTATGGGAGCACTGGACTTGGGGGTTTCTGTCTTGTTATGGTTCGAAAGGTTCTGTTGTTTTGCTAATCATTTATTCTTTCTTCCCTTCCCTGGCTTTTGCTGCGGCTTTTTCTCTGCTTTCGATTTACCCTTTCCTTTTGGTTTTTTTGTTTGTCCAACACTTCGTTCCCCCTTCGGCCATAATGGTATGGCTGTGCGGTGGCGTGGATACGGCTGGCGCTATTTGTCTGTGTGCATTTTGCTTGTCCTCTATGTTCCCCATTCCCCATCCTCCATCTGAGTGAGATAGACCCTCTTTGAGCGAGATACCAAGATCTAGTTTTATGTTTCGTTGGGTGGTGCTGATTCTGCCTGTTGCTTTTAACTTTTCATTCTCTCCTGACCTGATTTCATTCGGAGGCGAACTATTATCACGATAAAAACTTCCCTTCTAGTATCTATTAATATGAGCTTGTATCTTCTTTGAAATTGAAATAGTAGTTTCCACGAGGTCATGGTGAAATGTGAGCAGTCGGATCGCATCGACAGCGCAAGGCTTATCGGCACGGGATCGACCCAATCGGCGGATGGAAGTCACCTGACTGGGGTCTCGACGCGCCGCCCGGCGATTCTGTGAGCTCATCTCTTCTGCCCAGCCCGACACGCCCGCCCTGGCGAACGATTTCCTGTCTTCACGCCGCTGTCGATCACGTCGATACCCACTCATTCCGCCATTTGGTAGAGACATCTGTGTTCATTCTTCTGTTGCATATACGTTGCGATAATCACCCCTTCTCAGAACTCCCGTCCCCGCCGCAGATCCGCCGCAGGGGTCGAATCTTGTCCTGCGCCGCGGCGCCTTTGATGGTCTATATCCGCCTTCATGGTATCGCGAAAGCGCACCCGCTCCGAGGTGGACGCTGCCCCAGAGCAGCCACCTGAGGAGCCGGGTTTACTCCAGCAGCTTCGGAACTGCTGGGAGTTTGCAAGCCTCATGCAATATATTGCCATATTCGGTAAAGTCATGAAGATTGACGAGGATTTCGGGATTGAGGTGAGTAGTGCAAATCCAACACCTATAATTTTCTTTACTTTCAGGCGCGATAGATCAATGCTAATATTTTACTCTGATGCTTTGCTTGTAGGACCTGGAAACTGAATGTCTAAAGCCTACCCCTTCCGAGAAACTACTAGAGATTGGACTCTGTCTTTTGAAATGGGTGTCGTCGCATCGGGGCCTCACGTACGTGCACCTTCGTTCTAGCCGCGACTGTAGCTATGCTAATAGGATGCTTTGTCCAATAGCTTCGATAACTTCGATGAGTATACGCGACGTCAGTACAATGCGAAAGCACCACACATTCCTAACCCTTTCGGGTATGAGGAGGTTCCGAATAGGTTCTTGGACTTCGACGTTTTCTTGAAATTGCGCGTCTTGCACCAGCTGTCTATTTGGACCTTTTGGAATCCCGATCGCATCCGCGAAAAGATGCCGGAGCAGAGGGAATTGGATCAGACGGAGTGGGTGGGTTTTGCGTGACACTACCCCTAGATTCCTATGATATTTACTGACCTTTGCTAGCGTATCGAAGAAATAGGCTACGATCGTGAAGGCCGTTACTACTATATCCTCGATGATAACAGGCTCTATCGCCGCACCGACCCCCCTATTCCGCCGCCGAAACCGGCCAAGTTAAAGTCGAGGAGAAAGAGCGCCCGTGCCATGAGAGCCTCTAAACGAAGACGTGTTACAGGCGCCGACCCTATTGAAGAGTCCGATGAGGAAGACAATGCTGTGGACGGCGACTCCTCAGAGGATCCTCTGCAAGCGATGACGTGGGAATGCATTGCCGTTACACTAGACGATTACAAGCAGTTCCTCGAGTCCATAAGAAAGACAAGAGATCCCAATGAGAAGATACTGAGGGATAGGATCGATGAACAGGTCATGCCCATCATTGAGAAGGAGGAAGAGGCCCAGGAGAGACAGAAACAGAAGCGCGAGAAGGAGCTTTTCAACATGCAGCTGCTCGCTGGCGCTAAACGATCCAGTCGGATCGCCGGAAAAGCCGAGAGAGAGCGACAGGAGCGCGAGGCTGCTGAAGCAGCACGTAAGCGAGAGACGGAACTAGCCGCAGCCCGCAAGGAGGAAGAAAGAGTGAAGAAGCTGGAGGCGGAAAGACGCTCACGCATCATGACCCGGGAACAGCGTACTAAAGATCGGGAGAGGAAGCGGATACTACATGAAAGTGAGCTCCAACGCATCAAAGAAGAGCAGGAGAAAGTTGCACGGGGTGAGAGCAGAGCTTCCGAGAGACATCTTCAAGCGGAAATGGAAAAGTACCGCAAGAATCTGGAGGACCTCTCGCAGGAAGATCAATGGATATTCGACTGCTCGGGCTGCGGTGTTCATGGTCAGAATCTGGTAGGTCATGATCATCCCCGGTCATTATGACAAGTGTGCTGACCCTCAATAGGATGATGGCTCTCACAGTGTTGCATGCGAGTCCTGTAATGTGTGGCAGCACAGCAAGTGTCTCGGTATCTCGAAAAGCGAAGCTGAACGAGAGGATTTCCACTTCGTTTGCAAGGACTGTAAGCGACGCGAAGAGGAAGCGAAGTTGCCCAAACTTCCACCGTTGAAATTCCGCGTCGGGTCGTCGACCTCGCCATCCTCGACTGCGCCAGAAGGAGATACCAAGATCAAGGTTCCAGATCCGGATCAAAGTCCCATATCGTCTATCAAAAACGCTCAGCATACCTTCCAGTTGCCTCTTGCAGGGTCTCCTCAAAAGCAACCTTCCTCCATGCCTTCCGTTCCCTCACAAAACCCCCCTCAAGCCGTCTCCTTCCCTCCTTTGTCCCCCGAGCGCCGGCCTCAGTCCGCCCACACCACATCATTCAGCCCTCCTCGAGCCCCTTTCTCTCCATCAAAGGGCTTGAATGGATTCACTCCGTCATCTAAGGAACAGGTTCCAAAATTGCCATCCATCCACCAAGCTATGCATTTACCGCCTCACTCTCGCGAGTCCTTCAACGGCGGGTCGTTTCCGGCGCGGCGACCGTCGTCCTCTCACTCTACGCAGAGTCCCACTTTGCCTTCGCCCATTCAGAACCGGCCATCTATGTCCCCAACCCAGGGAAACCGGGATGTTGGTCCTCTTGCGGGATTTCCGCCTGTAGCTTCGACAGATCACTCAGCCCCATGGACGCCATACGGTCAACACCAGACCCCTCGTCCAAACACGGGCAATCATTCTTCCTTCTCTTCCTTGCATAACGGGCGTCCATCTTTCATGGCCACTCCGACTGCAAGTCGCTCCTCTCCTCCCCAGAGTTCCCACGGCATGCCTCTTTCGGGTATCAGCCCGACCAAGCAATCCCCCCGACCTATGACATCTGGCAGTGTCACTGGAGCTCCCGTCCTTCCTCCGATCCAGAAACTCGAGCCGAGTCCTAAATTGATGGGTCGTAGCTCGCCCGATGCACCCATTCCGCCGCCAGTCAAATGCATGACTCCGGAGCAAGAGGAGCGCAGGCAAAGGGAAAACGCCATGCTGCAGGCCCAGTTGCACGGGACCAATGGCCCGCATTCAGTGATGTCGTCGCCGTCGCTCAATCGTATACCACCTTTAGGGCCTCCTGCCGTTGCACAACAGCCTGCTCCATCTCCTCAGCCCGGACAAAAGTGAAGTTTCCTGGCACTTTCTGCTTATGCACACGAGCAGAGCAGCTGGACAACAAATCTTATACCCCTCTCGTTCGACATTTGAAGCCGTACAGTCACTCGTGATTATGTCCTTCACACGGTTATTGATCATCCTAGAAACTGGGTATGGTTCGGCTGGTTGATCTTGCAGCGCAGTAAAGCTTAAGCGGCCAATTCTTTCAGAGGCGCCAAGGCATGCGTGCAGGTCTTATGTACCTTTTTTCCTTTCTTACCGTCTGTTTCCTCGCAGCGGTCAATGCCGGGAAACTAGCTGGTTATCCTGGGTTTTCCGTTGCTCTCTCTCCCTAAACTTCGCTCACCCATACATTGCTTTTCAAAGTGCGCACTATGTGGAGAGTGTGCCGGTCTAGCATGCCGCACTGAGGATTTTGCTTTGTTCTTTGCTACCTATTTTGCATGGTTGATATGGTTGGTCTATGCTTCTCTCATGTCTTACTACAAACTTGATATATTGGAAGGGTGGCGTTGCAGGATACTGAGCTATAGAGGGATGGGGTTGGCTATGGATGTGAAGTAGACATTGACTAGATGTAATAAAAGCGAGGCAATTACATTGATGCTCGATACTCGCTGTAGATGATTACCTGCATTATATGCTGTCGCTACCTATCCCAGCGTGACATGCACCTACTATTACTTCAGTCACACTACTCAGCAACTGATGAGATAAATAAATCACACCCTTCATTACCCACAGCTATCATCAATCCTTCAGCAACCACGCTCCAAATATACCCTAATAAACAAGAAAGACCACCCCAAGCACAAACCCACCTACAGCAAACAAACAAACACCCATACATAATAAAAAAGCACAAGCGCAAGCACAAGCAATACGCCGCATCCGCACAGTAAACAGTCCCCAAAACCAAGCAAACGCCATGCATGCATTCCCACAGCCTCATACCCTCCCCTGGCGCCAACAACACGTCTAAGCAATCTAGTACATACTAGCTATTCCGTTGACCCGAAGTGGATCATCACGCTCTAATTTAACTAAAAGAACTACTACGTAGTTAGGCCCCAACATATGTAACTACTACTCCGTAGTAGGTAAGCAGTAAGCACCAAGCACCGGTAATGTCTCAGATTCCGTCCCCCCTCCCCCCCATCCCCTCCCGCTCTCACCCGTGCGTGCATGCATGCATAGAACCTACTTAGTAGATACTAGAGCACATGTCATTTTTTCTGATCTACCACCTGTCAAACTCTTACTCATTTCATCAATATATATATATATCTGGTGTGATCATCAACCCCATCTTGAAACTTCCATCAATTGAGTTTAAATATTCCCGAGTGACATAACATGAAACAAGGGTTAATTAAATGTATATGGTAGTATCGTGGCGTAGCATTGGTTGCATTCGCATGTGAGATTTGAGTAAGTGTGGGTATGTATGTA